TGATCGGCGATAGTCACCCAGACGGCACGAGGAAGACCTTCGTTAAGTACCTCGGCAACAGTGCCGATATAAGTATAGACATCCGTTGTAACCACCAGGGTAGAGTCAATGTTCGCAATCCAGATCTTGACTAGAGTGCTGTACAACGCAGGGAGCATAAAGGAGCCGACATTGTACAGGAGACACCCTGCATAGCTGTAGACATATATCAGGGGTGAATCCTTGAAATCGTTTGCCTTGCACCCACCTGGATCGGCGCCACCAGCCGCTCTCAACAGTCCATCGTAGAGACAGAAGGCTATCGTGTGTGTCTTCATCGTCCAGGTCGGTCACCGCATGTACTTCAGCAGTGTTATTTCCCAATGTCGGACCCATTGCCAGGAGTGAGATATTATTTCAACGAAGACAATCGGAGACCGAACAAGAACAGTGCCCATGGGGGTAATTAAGTTCTATAGGATGAATAATGGCGGCAGAGTTGCATCAACTTTCCCCGCTCCATGCCAAGTCATTTACGCTCCAATCAAAGCGGACTGAAAAGTGATACGAAGTCAGCGACATCAAGGCTTGGCAGATAACAACGCCTGCCAGTGCTTCATCTTACCTTGCTAATTCACTGCTTGAGAAGACTGAAAGATCCTCTAGTTTCTAGTTGCTGCAACATATCAGAGACAAGGCCCATATATGGTGATCATGCGAGCAGCCCTTGAAACCAAGTCAATCTTCATGACGGATGGTTGTTTTGGGATATGCGAGAAAGGCTAAGTCGCTGCCTGTTCGCATCGGGTAGATGATTAGAAGTCCGATATCAAATCCTTCTGAGACTTAACTAAGTGAACTGGTGTAGCCAGAAAGTATTTGACTAAAACCGTCAGACCTGGGAATATGATTGGAAGCAAGGGTTCAGCACAATTTGTGAGTTTCGCTGTATGGAACCGAGCCTTCAGTTCATCAGTCGTCTTTTGGCTGAATCATATCAGCTGGCTTCATGTTCTGTAGGCGCTTGCCATGTGCTGACAATTAGAGCCCCCTCCAAATAGAAATCGTTCGTTGTTCGTGAGGGCCGATGAATTAAGTGATAAAGCCGTACTGTCCTGTATTGTCCATCTCTAAGACTAAGTTATCGACAAGCCTGTGTACGTAAAGGTCATAATTGAGCCACAGTGTGGCGTAGAAGAAGCTGATACGGTACAATGTAGACCAAGGAAGCTGTATCGTTTTCAAGGAATTGTGTGTTACTGAGCGGTGAGCTTCAGCCTTACCGCCTTGAGCAGAAGTCATCCATCAGGCGGTGGATTTATTCCAGGCGTTGTCTAGGCTCAGGCGGTGAGTTTAGATTTCAGGCGGTTTTTAACCTCGAGCGGTGGATTGGTCTACCCATTCTCAGGCGGTAGACCAGTCCCAGGCGGTGAAGCGGTCTGAGGCGGTGAAGCAGTCTCAAGCGGTAGATTAATCTCAGGCGGTAAACCAGTTCGAGGCGGTGAAGCAGTCTCAGGCGGTAGACCAGTTTCAGGCGATGGATCTAGTCCGAACATGAACTTCAGTAGCAAGCAGTAAGTAAATTCACCTCACCGTCAGATGGTTTTCTAATCGAGGGATTGAACGTCGCATCTTCATGCATATATACTTCCAAGTGAATGTGGATTTGCCTACCACGATCGCTCAAATGCAGTGTTGAATGAGAAACGGGTCTCTGCCCATGACTGGAACTCATCCGGAAGGAAGAATCGCTGCTCGTCTGATCTCGGACTCATGATCCAAAATTGAGGCCATCCGAAACCAGACAGAGGAATAAGCGCCTCTTTATTGCCTTGAATCAAGTGTCTGTCTAGTGATGAGCTGCTGTATATTTGAAGTTGGTGGAAAATGGGAAATAAGCACATATCAATCTGAGGACTTCTCCCAAAATTCTAAACTTGAGATATCAGCCAAGAATGCTGCTCTCCGTGATATTAAAGGAAAAGTTGCGACTTACCCAACTTGGTCTCATTTAAATATACCTGGATTGGAGTATATCTAGTTCTAGCCCTGGAGGGTAGAACAGCCGGATGATATGACAGGTATGCATAAGATATAGATAACAATCAAGAGACACTCATGCAAAGAAATTTGAGTGATAGACTATGCCTTGTCTTCGACGAAGATCAGATGTAGGCAATTGACGCATTAAGAGTTGTTTATTCAGTCATCACCTGTATGGGCGATTGGCCATCCTTTATATCTCTTTGGCACCTATTTATGGGTTGGTATCTCTATGCTTCCTTTTCGCTGCTAGCAAAGAATGGTTACTCTTTGTTTCTGTTAATGCACTAGTATACTTAGGTGTTAGTACGATAAGTCGCATGAATGAATATAGACTTCCAAATCTCGCGCAGAATATGCCAAATGTTCCCCAATCCTGATGATTCGTGGAATTCCTTCTCCCATCTCCCGCCTTACAATATGTTCCACAACAGGTTCTCGGCTTACACGACTATACTATAATATAGATCATCCTTTCAGCCAGCCTCAAATGTGCCCTTGTATTTCAGCCCAATAACAGAATACCGTAATCCGCCTTTCACACTCTCCTGCGACATGAAAGGAGTAGCATTCATTTTCGTGAGTGACAAGAATACATTCAGCTATCTCTTCCTTCATCCTTGGTCCTTGAGAATTCTTGGTGGTTTAAACTAGAGGTGAACAAATTGGCACATTTGCAGTGTAGTCGATAAAATTGGATAGACCATCTAACTGGGACATTCTTTGATACATTCTCATACAACTTCCCCATGAAGGCTGTACACTCAAAGTTTCCCAAATACCAATTTGTTGCTATACGCCGCTAAACAAATATCTATCTCATCATCTTAAGCTAGAGATGTTGTACCTGGGATATTTTGTACAGAGTCTGATACTGAGAGTGAAAGATACCCACAACAATCACATAACTCCCTGCCAGGGCATGTGTTTACGGCACTTCGGAAGATATCTGAAGTGATACTGTATGACTCCGGGATATTGTGACAAAAGAGAGTACCGAGTTTGATTCTGTCGCCGAATCAGCATTTCTTGAAGAAATGGAAACTAAACTAAAGGTCTTTGTTCACAGGTTGAGTTATTCGACCTCTGCCTCTGGGAAAGGCATGGTACCCACTGTACTGCCTCGCCTCATTAAGCTTTTTAGGTGTTTCTAAATTAGCGTATAACATGTATGGTACAAATAGACAAGTTTCAATGCCTCTGGTGCAGTCAAACATTGCGAGGTCTAAGAGGGTAGTAGGTAAAAGAAGTATAGGTCCTGAGTGGTTGTAGGGCATTGTTGACCTGTAAGCGAAGCCTCTTTGGTAACTTTTGTTAGAACTTGGATTGACAATATTGGTGCTCGAGGGTATGTCGACGTTAGGAAGTTTGGGTTTGAACATGAATTGATCATCAACATGGGGCTTAATGTTTTTTGAGGACTAGGAGAATGACGGGCACGCCGGTGAGACGAAAGTGAAATACATGATATTAGTGGTGCACATTTTATTTGGGTCACATGACTAAATCGTGTAAACTCAGACGAGGACTCAGGGTGACGGTCACTTCTCTAGTGTTTACTCCCGGAGCAATCCGGGATCACTCAGGGATTGCTCAGGACACGCACTTCTGTGCTCCCACCACGCTCTGGGCCGCTCAGTGAGCAAAAAGCGGCGCCAAGTTCGATCTAAAGCGGAAAGGGAAAGTCGCTGGATTTCCGCAGCAATCCAGTTCGTTAGACAATTAACAGCAGGTGCTTAATTCTTGCAACCTGTTCAACAGCAACTGCAATTGAACGCGTAATTTGGAAAGCGCTAAAGAAGACCGATCTCAATTAGTGCTATCGCGCTTACATGGCACCTTCCAACGGGTCAAGAAATCATTCATCCTCTAGGAGTAATTTTTCTTGAGGACTCAAGATTCAACTACGCATGTCCTAGTATGTTTCTGTGTACATAAATTGCGCATCTTCTGATTATTGAAACCGCGTAATGGAGCGGGCGCCCGCGGAAACCAGATCATCATTATGGCTTCTACGTTAATGCAGTGACCTACAATTTACCCTTATCGGCTGACGAGTTGGAGAGGTGGTACAGACCAGAAAGTAGGGACAGACTAGGGGTTGGTGCGGCTTAGAGACTGGGGATAGACTGGCGAGTAGGGACCCACCACAATTTTATGCTCACCCGCGATCACCCTCCATTGCCTTCCTCACCCTCAATCACTCGCCGGAAATGAAACACCCATAACCATCAATCTTAGTATAGGACTTCCTTATTTGCTTTCCATGCTTCATTTGCCCACGTAGCTTTTGAGTCACTTGTCAATAGGGTGAGCGGGTGAACCAAGAACGAATATAAAAGAACTCAATGAGCCTTGTCGATCAAGGTACTTTGTTAAATTAAAATCGTGGTGGTCAAATTCTCTTGCATGCTTGTTTATTGCATCCAAACATAATGGTGATTTTTAGGACGATCCGTGGGCGGCATTCAGATAACCCCCGGTCGAAGCGTCAGCAACGACTACGGCGAAGACTGCGATTGATGTATGGTGCATTTGAATACTGTTATGAATGTGATGCGGACATCTCTCTTCTAATTCGACTGAAAGATACGGGCCAAATCTATATCTTCAATTCTGATAGCCAATGGCAGCCACCCAAAGAGCAGTTAGTTTGTGTCTTCAACTATCTCTTGCCAAGATAGAGACCAACAAGCTGCAGGCAAGTTACTACCCAAAGCCCAAACAAGTGACTCGGGAAGAACTCGCCCCTAAATACCGAGTCTGACAAGCATTATTACTATCTGGCGCCGCGATGAATACGAAGTCGCAGGTATTGGAACTATGAGTCCAAAAAAGCGGAACGTCCATGGTCTTAGCCGAAGTTTCATGACTTTAGTTTTAAATAATGATAATGCCATTCACTCGAGTAATCATATTTTGAAATAGACATAATGACATTTTTCTAGTTCGTTTCTCACTGTGTTGTTCATCGACAATCTCAGGTGGATGACCATAGTCACATAAATAATGGATTAGTAAGAATAGTCGGGACAAATTGTAAGCATTTCCTGTCACAGATTATGGCCGTCTGGGCGAGTCGCAGTAATCCAATGGGGTTGATGCAATTATATTCAACAAGCACGGGAGCTTACCTGGGAGACAGCAACGGTTTGGATTTGATCGCAACTAATTGGAAGCCATGAAAACATTGACAATCAATATTTGAAAGCAGCAGCATCATTGATCATAAGTTGCCTCTGCCTGTTTCCTGCTACCTAAGTGCAACAGCACCCTTTGCAGGCTGAATTCGAAGATTCAGTAGTGCGCTGAAGAGGACTGTTTCCAAGTGGCGCCATCGTTAGCTCGTGTCCGGCAATTCCGATTCCACCCGGTCGCGCTCCGTACCAGTCCGTCGTCTATTATAATGTCTCAACCCCAAATGACTTCCCTTCGACTTCCCTTTGACTCCCCCACCTATGATCTCCCTTAGATCTTGATTACCTTTTGACTTGCCGTCGACTTCCCTTCAATATCCCTTCGACATCGCCATCGCCCCTTCCAATTCCTGCCCACTTCCCTGCTGCCAGAGCATAGCCCAGCACCATGGATTTACACCAGATGACTCGTGTGAGATACTAGGTCGACAGCAAATTAGATTTAGCCACAAACTATGAAATGCCGACTTTGTTTCGCTAATATGCATAGGCCAGCCTTGTTCTTCTACCATATAGCTACAAAACTTTTAGAGATATATCGTGCCGGACGGCCTAGTATCTTCCTCACGGGCACGCCATGAAGGCTTATGGGACTGGGCCACGTTGGACAATAGGATAACAAGGGCTATCTAAGTTCATTTAGTCCACCGGCCGCAGCTGATCAAGGAAACTACAGTGATCAGGCCGTAGGACGGGAGGAATGAAACATTCACAACATTTCATTTCAGCTGATCTTGTCTGGAAGAGGACCCTACAATGACTGGACAACGGGAAGAATGAAGGAGCAAAAGAATTGTAAATAACCATCAGAGATAAATAGTCAGATCATTGGCTCCCACAGAGCGTGTTCTCTCTCTCTCCCGCTCTCCTTATCCAACTTCATTTTCAATATTGATTTGGAAACAGCTCCTCACCAGGGAATTTTCCAGCATTTGAACAGAATAGATGGCAAAACACCATTTCGGCAGTCATGACGGCCATTTGTGCAAACCGGAATACTATTGGCCCCTCAAGAAGTGGGTTGAAAAGTGTGCAGCCTCCGGGAAGCCTGAGGTGGCAAGAAAAGCTAGTCAGACCTATTTGGCTACCATCAAGAACTCGAAGCTCGTTGTATTGAAAGATTCCATAAAGATCTGTCCTCACGGAGCACTACGAATGATCGGAGAAGATATGTCTCACGAATGCAGGGAAAGTCAGGATTTGGCCGGTCGTGCTTGGCCTAAGAACACTACCGTCGTATACGATATATTGAAATGGTTCAATGTGGAGACAGCTCATCAGATCTTCTTCGATAAGGGAGACAATTTTCTATACAATGGTCCTTTGCTGGTGTTCAAAGATGAGGATCTTGAATGCCTTCGGAATGCAGAAGCTGTCGTGGACTTAATATGGGAAGATCATCGCACGGTAGAGTCGGTGGTATCCTCATTGAAATTGGATCAATGGGACGATTAGCTCCCAATCACACCCAGGTGCATACTTGAGTTGAGTACATGGTTCGAATGATATGCTGACCTGCAAATACAGTGACCTTGAAACCATCGACAACACGCTGAGATTGAAGTATGGTGATAATTTGTTGAGTGATTCTAATGGTTCTAAGTACACACTGAGGAGACTTGCGCAGGCTGGAAGGCAGTTTAAAGAGGCTGAAGAGAAAACAGATCATCGGAAATACAATTTTCTCCATGATCTCTTTTGGGCGCGTTGCTTGCAGTGGCAGCGGATTAAACTGGTGGAAGCCTGATACAACTTCCAGTCCTTTAGTTTTAGTGTATACTGTTAATGTTAGTTTACACCAGATTGGTCAAGAACATTTGTTATTTGGTGTTACACTAAATTGGACGGAGCATGTCCGGCAGACAAATCAATGACGTAATGAAGCACATCACGCAAGTGAGTCAGCTTCCTGAATAATTAATTTTATGTTGATGTGGCCGCATACCAAGGAATGACTTTTTGAGGACTCAATCTTTTGGCATCAGACAGGAAAACTCTCAACTCTTTCCTACAACGTGTCGCTCATAGATAGCCGAGTACAGGTTGATATTAACAAAAGATAATGGTTAGTCAGAGAAAGTCAGAACATAATCTTCATAGACTGTAGTCAGGAGAGCTATGGCCTCCCATGGTTACTTAGCCTTACAGACCGTCAATTGACAGATTGAAGGCGATGGCAGACTCAAAGCTGTGGGCATACATCCAAAGTGGAT